CTGCTTGCGGCGCAGCTCGTCGCGGCTCTGGAGCAGCGGCGGCGATCGGAGGCCGAGCGCGGTCACGTGGGTGCGGCGGAGGGGGCCGCGGAGGGCGGGAGGGGCTGTGGGAACGGCGGGGCGGCGCAGGCCCATTCACAGCCGAAACCAGGGCTTTGAAATTCGAGCCCGGCACTGCCAGACTGGTCGGGCGAGCGGGCTGGCGAGGCGCGGGCGCCACTGCGGGCTGGGGGCGGCTCTGGGAAGGGGCCGCCCGCTTCGGGCCCCCAGAGAGTGGCTCAGCCGTTCTGCAGCCTCGGGTTTAGGGTTGGCTTCCCTAGTTCCCATCCGGCCGTCGGAAGGTGGCAGCTCCCTAATGGCGGCGGGACGGGGCTCTCAGAGTGCACCCCCGGGATTGGGATGCCCTCCAGGGCAGAAGCGTTCAGACCCTCCTCCATAAGTTTTGTGGTATTGCTGCCACTAGGGTGAAGTGCTCGAGGCTGGGCTTTTTGGGATGGTGGGCTAGGTGGGCTAGTCCACGAGCAGCCGACTTACTGGCGGTGGAGATTTATCGGCCCCACAGAACAGATGTCCACGTCGCGGACAACACGGCCGTGGAGACGCACCGTGTACACATAGGCCACGGCGCATTCGTTAAGTCCTGCAGACCCTCTTGCTCTTTCCCCACTCCAGGCCCATGGGGACCACATGAGAGCTGTTTAGGAGGTCAAAGGGCAGCTTCCCAACGCCCAGGTGGTAGGACTGAGGGGCGAGTAAAATTCACTCATTAGGCCAAAGCAAGGGTGGGGAGCCTCCATGTGCCCTAGGCTGGTCTGGGTGGCCCCTCCAACCACCAGTCATTTGTCCTGTTCTGCGCAGAGCACTGCCACTTCTCTGGGACAGCTCTGAGACTGTTTCCATTTGTCCTACGGGGCGCTGTCCCATTGCCCCAATGGAAAAGTCAGTCTCCGTGCTGGAGGAAGACAGGCAGTCCATGTCTGGGTGCCATCCTAAATATCAAGAACTGGGTGCCGGGACTACATGCCCTCAGGTGAGTGGCTAGGGGCCTGGCTTGGCCAGCTTACCCCGGCCACCATGAAATTAGGTTTGCTGGACAAGACGCCAGGTCGTGGAGCAGTTGTAGCATCAGGCGGGTTCAGGTGCCATTTGTGAAGGAGCAGGCAGGCAGCGGGGTGAAGGTTTGCTCGAATTTCTTTATTGGGGCAGGGGATGTGCCATTCAGTACATATCTCGGTACTGGCCCATGCAGAACTTCTGTTCACAGGTGTGTGCACGCGCACACACAGGGTCAGAGCGCTGCTGGCTCAGCAGCGTGCTCTCTGCACAGGAGGGCATTAGTGCCAGGGTGCAGCTAAGTGCGGGGAGCCCGGGGAGCTGGGCTGTGAGCAGCCTCTGTCCCCTCCCTGACCTTGGCCGGCCCAGCCTCTGAGAGGTAACTCCTCAGGAAGGGGGCCTGAAGGCGCCAGTGATCCATGAAACCCCTCTATGGGCCCTTTGCCAGGGCAGTGCAGTCAGAAGATGACCCTCCGGTCCAGATGGTCCCCACGCCCACTGCGCTGGTGCCTCACTTCCAGGTGCTTGTTCTGGACCTTCTCAAAGTGCTGCAAGAGCTCTGTGTAGTCAATGCTGGGGGCGTTTGCTCTCTGGGAGGTGGGGGCTGCCTTCAGACTGTCCCTGGAATGGGGGAGAAGGGTTTGGGGGGTCAGTGTGTCAGCACCCTGTCATGCCATAGGATAGGTTTGGGGGCTCAGTCTGGGAAACTTAGACCTGGCAACCCCTCCCCACCAGCCAGCTCACCCCATGATCCCTGAAGCCCAAGTTGGGGAGTACTGTGAGCATCCCCCCTGCAGTGCTGCTGGCCTGACAGCTTGGTTGTCACCTTCAGGCTTCAGGTTGGTGACAGCGCCCAGAGCAGGCACTGCCTTGGAAAGCATTTCCTGTTTACAAGTGGCTCCCTTTGGGGTGTAAGCCAGGGCTAACAGTCAGCCAGGAAGCCAGCTGGGTCCTGGGGCAGGGTCTGGGGAGGACAAAGAGGTGGTGGGATCAGGGCCTTTTCTCTGGGCAGGGCATCGGGTTTTGAGTGCAGGGGCCTAAGGCCCAGTCATTCATGTGTCCCTGTGAGAGGAGAGCTGCCCTCACCAGTTGACATGCTGTTTGTTGGCTTCTACACCTCTTATTGGTACCCCCCTCCCCAGGTTGTACACTGCACAACTCCTTACAGTTGTGCAATGCAATAGCCTTGCTGTAGCCCCTGCAACCTCCCCCCAAACCCAGCACTCAGTTTGCCGCTGGAGACAATAGCCCCTTGAGCTCCCTGTTACATCTGTAACCTCCCTTCCAGCAGAGCTTCTCATGAAATACTTTTCCTCCACTTTGTCCTTGCTGGCGTGGAACCAGATCTGTGGGGGCTAAGGAGTCTTTGCTTCCAGTGTTGCAGAGAACCTTGGGTCTTTTGAGATCATGAAGAAACCCCAATATGAGTTCATAAGGAGGCAGATCCTATACAACCACTTCCTAGCTGTCGGACTTGGGGTGGGAGCAATCACAAGAACCCCTGACTGAGGTGGCTGTGAGGATGTGTAAGCACACTCAGGCCATCGGCCTCTCTGAGGTGGGTCTGCCAGAGCCCAGCAGTTAGATGTGATGTGCATCAGCTGCTCAGTCTGCTTTGGGGAAAACACAACGGCCCTTCCGCCAGACAGAACCTCGCCAGACAGAACCTCACCAATAAGTCTGGATCATGGCCAGACATGGATGACCAACGGTCATAACTGGACAGGCATCTGTGACTAACCACCAGGCCCAGGGCCAGTGGGAACCCCAACTGTGGTAGATGCCTCTCCTTCCAAAAGGATCCAGGTGGGGCTCATTCTGGGGGGCCAGGTTGTGGCTAGCACTCTGGGTTCTGGCTACTGCTGCTTTCAACCCCCCTCAGAGTCAGGGAGACCACTCTGTCATAGTAACCCTGTGGCCCAGATGCAACAAGCTCCTGACTCAACCTACTTAGGCTGGGACAAGGAGAGGGGTGCTGTCCTGGAAACACGAGGCTATGGAATGCCACCAAAGTATGTCATGCGATGGTGGCTGCTCAGGTGCCTGTATGTCTCAAGCCCTCTCTTGTAAAGGTGATGTGTGCAGATGAGGTGGCCAGGGCTCAGTAAAAAGGCCCTGGTGAGAGTCTCCTGTGGGCAGACTCTGGCCGAGGGCTTGGAAGCAGGACATGGAAAAGTGTGCCGCATGGGGACAGGGCAACTCTCCCCACCCTTGTCAGTATGGGTGCAGTCTCAGTGGCTTCGGGCAGTGAGTTCCTGGAGGACATGGCAGAACTGGGATTCCAGAACCCAAAACCGACTCTCTGGACACCCCACCCACGCACCTGTTTACCAGGCTCCCTCCTGCTAGACTGACAACAGGGCCCCGGGGAGTGGTCTGGAAGCCTGAGGGGAGCCCTGGCCCCATAGTCCAGTTGGCGCCTTGCACAGTCAATGAGGGAGGGGGGAGGGATGCAGACCCCCCCCCCCAGCTGCTCCCATCTGGCAGGCCTGTCAGGGAAACTGACTCTGTTGTCCAGCTCCCCACCCCTCCCGGGACTGAGCCTGGCCTCAGTCCCTCCTCAGTGTGTGGCAGGCCCCCAGCATCCTGCCCTGCAACTTGACCCTCCCCAGCTGTTCCTGGCTCTCTTTCCCCCCAGGGCCCTGCTAGGAAGGCTGGGAAGTCAAGGCCTGGGACTCGCGGCAGAGTTCAAGCACCAGTGTAACCCACAGGTGTACTTACTGATGAAGACAGGAAGAGTCACAGCTGGTGGGTGGCCTCCCCGACCCTGGCCCATGCTGGCACTGCCCATAACTCTGAGAGCCTTCTACTGACAGATGCAAGCGGGGCCCAAACCTTGGCTGCGTAACCATAGCGGATATGGAGGGGACCCTCCCTTCCCCAGCTCCTCTCCGTACATCTGCTGGGACTAACCAGCCTTGGGGAATGCTGGGAGGTGAAGAGGTAGACTGTAAGCATAGTCCCTGGGAGCTTTTCCAGTGTGGCCTCCAAGATGGGGACCTAGCTGGCCCACTAAGGTAGGAGCCCTGCACTCTCCACAAGCTTCCCAGAGGCCGACTCTCCGCTCTGCTCAGGACCCACTGGGCTGACCCCACTGCCCTGACTCAGTACATCTGTGTTACAACTCGTAGGGGCCTGTGGTCTGGGGCTGTCTTCCAACACTGGACCTACTTCTTGGGCCCACGGTGTCCACAGTCTCTCCTGGGTCTGTAGGCAATGAGCCCAGGGCTAGGTGGGCTTCATACAATGATGGGGAGGCCGGGGACCAGCAGGAAGCCTCCCAGAGCCTGCTGGAGGTGGTGGGCTCTCACACTGTAGATGCAGTCCAGGGCTGTGAGTTGAGGTGCAAGCACACTCAAGTGTGAGGCTGCAGTGGTCCTTACCATCTAGGGCCTGTCACTGGAAGGTAGGCGGGGCTGCTATGGCCTCCGCCTTTTCCGAGTGTCTGCCAGGACAACCCTAACCCCCACCAAATGTTGGAACCTAGTGAGGCAGGGGGCTTTGTGGCTCCCTTTCAGGAGCAGTAGCTAAAAGCATCCAAATGCAAACCCAACTTGGTGCTACTTCCTTGCTTTTCTGGACACTCCGAGACTGAAAGTTCTCTGGGGGTTGCCTGTGGGCAGCTGGGGTCCTGAGACACTTGTCTTGGGAGTGGACAGGGAGGGAAGGGAGAAGCTGGGCCCTGGAACTGACAACCCACATGTGTCTT